ATAGTCTGAGAAACCCCTGGAGGCAGTTCTACCCTGTCCTATAGGGTCGCTATGAGTCAGAATTGACTCGGTGGCAGTGAGTTTGGGATTTTTTGGTTTTAGCACTTAAAATGCCCGACTCGTCTGGTAACCTATGCTTATATGAATGCATACATATCATCTACATGATCAAGGTAATTTGTCTCCAATATTTCTTAGATTATGTGAAAATCAGATGTCATATTTTTTTCATCACAAACTTATTTTTTGTTTCGTAGTATACCTTTGGGGAAATGCTGAAATTGAGTCATAGTGAAGAAAAATAAACCAAGGGAATAAAAATTTAGAGAAAGCATATGGGAAAAAAAATGATCTCTAAACTGAGAGACATATAGATTTAGAACATACATCATTTGCCTAACACCAAGGATTTACTTTCATAAAAAATGCCCGTTTCAAATACAGAAAGCAAAGTAATTGTTTTGAATATTTATTTGTTTTTGAGCAATTTCCTCTTATGTGCTATAAGTTTTGTTTTTCTCTTTTTCTATTTCATAAACACCAGCATTTCAGAAGAGGAGCATATACAGTGATAATAACAAAGCTTTAAACCTCTACGTGAGGTTTTAATGTAGTAAGAGTTATTTGTAAAATTTAGACTATGTTCCATGCTCTAGATTGAGTCCATCACCTCTGCCCTAAAATCTGTTTCAGGCTCTCTATGGTCTCTAGCTCTAAGCGGCGGCAAGGAAAGACCGGTAATCGCAAAGCAGGTGAGTTTTGAAAAATCCCTCAAGATTCCTTTGAAGTCTGATACTCTATTTCTCCAATTATGCCAACTTCATGCCCTTCAAGGGTTTGTTCTAAGATTGCTTACTCTTTTCTGTTCTGTTGTACGTCATGTTGCTATGAGTCTGAATCCACTGGTTAACATCTAACCACCACAACAATGAATTCTTTTACATCTCAAATTTGATTTGAATTGGATTTACCCACGTATGTCCTGCTGGATATATTTAGTGATCCTGACCATGAACTTGCTATGTAGGTTTTCTGAGATTTGTATGGAAGTACTGTGGCTCAAGCCAATGCAAAAAGAACCTCAAAGTTTTTACTGAATTTGCATCTTGTCTATAAATTATCCAGGAAATGCAAAGCTATGAATTTGCTGTAGGACACATATAGCTCTCTTGTGGCTCACAGAAGCACAATTCTCTTTATTTCACATTTGTCTATTAGCACATTTTCTCAAAGAATTTTCCTGGGCTTGCTTTCTTTGCTCACACGATGTGTTAATTTCTATATTCAGAATGTGCTAACTGGTAGCAGTTGCATTGACAAAGTTAATAGTACTGGGCTGCCAAAATGAATTTGAAGCTCACTCTTCCCTGCTCTCTGTGCTCTGCCTGGAACATACGCATAGAGGTTAGTTGATACAAGCTAAGGGTGCTGCTAGTCATTTAAAATAGTTGGGTTAAATATGGTTCAACAGTAAGAAAATTTTTGTTTGACTGTTGTGACAAGCTAAAGCTTACAAATATTTTGCTTGGAACAAGGAAAGGCATATCCCCTTCAACATGAGAAGGAAGTACTTTCTTTAAAATATACCCAATTTAGATATGGTCATTATTGAAAGTTTCGTAATAGAATTTAGAAGGAAAATGGCAGTGGTTTGCATTTTTAAAAACATTCGTACCCTACATGAATTCTTTTCCTAATCCCAGATAAATGTCAAAGTGGCCCCGTAGAATGATAAAGGATAAGCTTCTGATCCTGAATGACCACTACAAAGTGAATTTTATAAATAATTGAAACAATTATCCTGTTGAGTTTTCAATGGTCAACCTCCTGTCTGCCACCCCCCACCCCCACCCCCACTCCCAAGCCAACCCTGCCACTCCCTACATTTTAAATAAAGGATACTTTTGATAAACTACCAGGTCTTAATCGTTATAATAACAGTAGCTTCCTTTTTCCAATGCAAAGACAGTAATTAAGTTTATCTACATGTGCACTATTTCTTTGTGTGTGAGCTTCAAAAAATTCATTTTAAATATCTTATGCGAATATAAAAGCATAAAGCAGCAATTTCATGACTCAATGCTATTTTGCCTCTTCATTTAGCCAACTTAACTTCATACACACACAACCTGTAATACAGACAGATGCACACACTTGATGTAAATGAAAATAACATTCTCTTTCCATCAACATGACTGCTGAAATGATGTATTTTAAAAATTTTAATGAAATAGATAAACATAATTCAATCTACTGCTTCAGTCATGTTTATCCAAATATATGTTTGGAAACAAAAACAGACTTATGAACAATAAAAATTGAGTACTTTTTCATTTGGTGCAGATTAGACTTTACTATGATGTAATCACACATTTTAGAAAGTGTGATGTTTGATGCCTGTAAAAAGAAGAGTCATGACCACTTTACAGCCCAGCCCTCACTGAAGGGAACAGTCATTAGAAGTTGAACATATTGAGGTCAAGATAGCATTGTTCAAAAAAGAAAAAAAAATCCCTAAGAAAATTAACAACAACCAGAAAATGCAAAGAAGCATTTCAGGGATTTAATTTCAGAATAACAAATGCTTTTTCGGATAGACTATGTAGCTGTAAAATGTAGAATGGAAATGCTCAAGAACTGGCACGCTCTTAAAACACAAATGTAACTTGATGACAACTGTCCTTGGAATTTTGTGTAGCGTGTGAACAAAGGACTCCATCCTTTCATTCCAGACACCTCACAGGAATCGTACTCTAGAAACCCGGTTCTTGTTTAAAATACATGTTCGGATCATGTGGAAAATCCTCTAACAGCCAAATCCTCCCAAGTCTTGATATGTACCTAGGTGTTTCAACTGGAGTGATCTCCCTGCAATCAAAGACTTTCAAAATAGGGAATGATGTAGCACACCCGACCCAGTATTCCCGCCGCCACCCCACCCCCCCCCCAACATAAGAATCCTCCACTGGAACAACACACCCATGTCTCAAACAGAGAAAGCGCTATGAAGATTCGGAGAAAACCCCACTGAAGGGAAGCCTGCAAACGGGCACACCCTGCCAAGAGCCACAATGAATTAAGAGAGCGTCCTCTTTGGACCTGAAAGCGGCGCGTTGGGAAATCCACACCATACCTGCGTGCACGCTGAGCGACTGCGGCGCACACGCCGCACGGTCTGCACCCTGAGAGACCCGGCGCGGCGGCTTTCGCTGCTGCAGAACACGGTGCAGGAGGAGCCCCGCGCATTTTCTGCGGGCGACACATCCAGCTTTCCACCAGCCCCGTGACCTTTGAACTCTCGCCCCCCCTCCCTTTTCTGCAGTCAAAGCCTCCGCGCCGGTTCATTTGCATAAGGCTCGGGCAGCGCTCCAGCAGCTGACAGGGAATGCTGGGTAGGGACCGGGGAGCTGCGGCTGTGCGGGAATACCTGCGCGGGCGGACGGGCACCCGGCGGGCACCCGGCGGGCACCCGTGGGCGCGGGCACCGCTCTCCGGGGCCCTCAGCGCTGCGTTCCCACACGTCTGCTCGCCGCTTCCTTTTTGCAGTCTCACTCTCACCGTCCCTTGTCAACAAGCAAGCAAGCAAACAATTGCCTGCAGGGACGGCGTAACCAAGGAACCTCAAATAATCAAATACTTCATTGAAAAACGTGTGGAAGGCCAATTTCAAATGTTCATTAACTTTCATTTTCATGCTTGGAAACATACCTCTATTCCTCTCCTCCCCTATCCATCCCCCCCGCCCCCCCCCATCTACCTCTTTTCATTGAAAGGCATCTTGCAGGCATCCACAGGGAAAGTGGGCCCTTCTTTTTGTTACGATGGTGGTTTCCACAGCCTCACACAGGCACACATTTATATTAGCCACTATACAAATGCACGAGGTCAGTATAGTGATTCTATAAAATGTTAAATGTGCCCTAGTGTTTTAGAAATTATCATCCTAAATGGTGTCCAAGATATTAATTGTAAATAATTTAGGTCCCAGGATGCCTTTAAACAATACAGCAGTAAACCTGCAGAGCAAAGTTAAACTATGTATCTACATCTAAAGATACATGTAACAGGACTGCCTGGTTTTGGCAAAGATTTTCAGGATTGTGCCATTATTTCTTGAGTTGTTTCTTCCCTTGTCTTCCTACGCACAGCAATCTCTCAATTTGAAGCATAAACTTCTCTATTCCTCACAAGCCCAAGAAGTGGTTCATAAAGAAGGTCAAGTGCATATATTTTTATAAATCCACGTGAATATATTCTTTTCGACATGGTGAATGAACGGCAATGTGCATCACACATACTTAATTCATTCTTTTTAAAATTAAGCTCGTTTGTCTTTATTAATATGTGATAAAAGATCTAAGAAATAAAAGATTTTATGGAACGACCTTTTCCATTTATTCAAAGAAATGTAGCATGGCAAATAATAAGCACACTGCAAGTTTATGTTGACACATCTTACTGTGAAATATAAATATAAAAGACATTTTTGTTAAAGAAGCATTTCTAAGCATTTCAATATTTCCCATTTTATAATTCTGTCATTTAAAATATTAAATGTTCCAAACTGTCCTTTAGCTATATACAGAGATTGCTAAATTCTGAATGCTGTGCCATCCAATTTCTACGACAAATAAATTATTGCAATAAAGATTTTTTAAATGCTGGAAATATTAATTTTGAAGTTGTTTGCTTGAGCTATATATTTAGTAGTAGTCTGCATTTTATTATTTCTGCTTATCTAAGTGATGAGAGCTAACTAATGTTTTTATCTATGACATTTTAAATAGAATAACTTTTTGATTAAATATAATGAGATAAATATTTCTTTATCACATCTGACTACATCAGTAATTTAATAGCATTAGGTCAATTCAAGTCCACCCTTCAGATTACAAATATCTCACAAAGTTTTTATTTAAGGCAAAACACACATCAACCCATCCTAATTTAAATCCAATCAAACACAAGGAAGTGTTGGAGTAATTTATAAAATCACCGACCTGTTCAAATAGCTGTGGTCCTAGTCCTTGTACTCTTTACTCATTAAAATCCAAAATAAATTGATTATCATTTTATAATGTGTGTCAGCATCACCGAAGGCACCGTGTCTTCCTGGTTCAGCAGAATCTTCTTAAATTTCCCAGCCCTGTGTTTTATTGCTGGTACCATATGCTTTATTGTTCAGCGACAAGAGCTTCACTCTGCACAAAGACTCATTACCTACTGCTGGCTGCACGGCATCAGCCTCACTGAGGCTGCCTATATGTGATCACATGGGAGTTTTGTCTGAGAGAGCCAGGCATGCCACTGACTTCACTGTGTCTATGGATATTTTTATCAGCAGAAGTCTACTAGGAGGAAGGAATAACAGATTATGAAGCTGCTCGAAGTCATTAATGCAGTACAACTTGTAGAGAAATCCCTTCACAAGATTTTAAAAGTGATTATTCAGGAAAACGTTTGAGCAGGCCTACAGAAGGAGATAACTAGATTTAAAAAAATAAGAGGCTTTAAAAAATAACGCAAGGAAGGAGAACTAGCTAAAAACTGTTTTTTTTTATCTTGTGTTTCCTAAAGGAACTTTTGCACAGATGTCACTGCTGAGCCTGGGTCTGCTGAATGATGTGACAATATGTTTTAACTGTTAGATTGCTGGGGTTTCTTTTTCTTTGAGGTTATTTTTAAAAGGATAAGTGGATGTTTCCCACAAGATGCCCTCAATTAAAACCTCAATCACTAAAAGACATTATATGTGAATAAAAATCAAGATACTCTAATTACTTTTTGAAATGAGATGAAAGGCAAGTCACTTTTATTGATGTATGTATATAAATGAAATCAATGATTAATTTATCTTCTCAGAAGATGACATATCCCTAGAAAAACAGCTGACTTAGACTAATAAAGATTTCAATTTAAAGATCTAAGGGACATATGGTTAATATTAATTCTTAAAACTGCAATAACTTATTTTAGACAGCTCAGTAAGCATATGTTCACAGTATCTGATCTCAGTGTTAACAAGTAGTTCCAGAGATCACCACTCAGAATTTATAGGAATGTTCTGCTGCATAGATGCTGAATTAACGCATGTGTGTGTATATATATAATCTTTATAAAATATTAAAAAATAACTACAGAAGTTAGTTCTGTAATTTGGAAAATATACTATAAATTGCTCAAACTGCAAAAAAGACTTTAGTCATTAAAATTTGATTTAAAAAAATCAATTTCTTATCTATTTAACAATCTGTCTAAATTGAATTGGGTAATTAAAAGCTTGTTGCTTCATAATTCTCATTGAAAATCGTATGAGAAACACATTCACAGAGCAACAAAGAGTACAGAAGATTTACTTTCTAACAGTGGTACAGAAAAGTCAGTAGTACCTTAATTGACTATTAGAAAATGTGTTGGCAAAAAAAAAAAAAAAGAAAATGTGTTTGCTGTGGAGCTATGTATACAATTCTATGCATTTTAATAGTGTAAGTAGTTCACTAATTGACCTGGGGGGAAAAAGCGACTATACTTATATATGATTATTTAAGGCTTTCATTATTAATACATTATTTTTCTGGAAAGAAATTTGTAACTGATAAACATTTTAATGGCAATCCAAAAATAATTTTAAGTCAGAACAGGCAGGGTGACTAAATCCAATGCTTTCAGATCTCTATATCATTATTTAGGATAGCACTGATTATGTTTCGTGATTTGAATAAAGGTTCTCTGATGAGGTTTCCTTCACATTGAAAGAAATACTCAGAAATGTCTTTAACGCTACCATTTGAGTGCACTTATTCCAAAAGGCTCATGTTCATTTTTTTCCCTCTGCACACAAGAACTGCACTAAAGCTACAAAACCTCGAGGCATTAACAGAAAAGGGAAAACAGAGCATTCCTGGCTTAGAAGATACCTCTGGATTCTGAAAGATATGTACATTCTAGTTAATGTCTCTGATGACGTCATCATGCTAATGTACAGGGAAATAAACAAAAGGCAGCCATTTTCCTTTTACTGCATCACTTCGAAACCAGTGAAGTAAAATGGTTGCCAAATGGAAGAAGAGACAGTAAGAAAACTAGGTTGCTTACCAGTTCTTAGTGGTAGTGGGAGGAGGTGTAAAAAAGGGGGTGGGGTAGAATCCACACATAGATGAAGCTGAGGTGTACATATGCAAAGAAAAATTCAGCAGTAAAAACATAAGGAAATACATGCCATGGAAAAATAGCTAGCAGTTAAATTACCAATAAAATAGTGCATCTCCAATGGAAAGACTATGTTCTATAACCTAAATATATTAAATGTGGCTAAGAGCCTGCAATATTCATTTATGTTGAAAATGTATTTGAAGGTGGACAAGAGAGTTAGAATGAAAGACAATGCATCTTGAACTAGAGATCATCTTTCCAGACCTGCTAATGTCAAATATGACCTTGGTGAGTTAGTCTAGCTTCTTATGTCTGAATTTCCAAGCTGCAAAGCAAGAACAGAAACGTCTTTGGAAAACATGACCAAAAATACATAGCAATACTTTTATATTTAAAGTCCCGGAATTGGTTTTAACTGATAGCTAGCAAAATGAGAAAATGTTGTCGAATTCTGATAACTATTTCAAAGAATTTTAAATGAATTATTCTAATAGCACAGATAAATCTGGAATTTGGTAACAAGAGGTGATTTCCCCCCCCCCAATATATGCAGGAAAAAATTAATTTAGGAAGTAATTAAAAAAACCTTAAAAATGCCTAAGGATCAAAATACATGACAAAACCATCCTTGCAGTCAAAATTGTAGAACTCTCTGCCAGTGACACGGCAAGGGCACTCCCGGGAGTTTCTGATTGCTCCGTCACACAATGAAAAGCAGTGTTTCTCTCTCGATAACAGCTCCATCAGGCAAGAGTTGTCTATATTTGAAATTAACAGCGAAGCACAAGACCACCGCCTAGAGAAGCAAAGTCTATCCAAGATTTAAATGGCATTTCAATCTACTGTGTGGTACAGTAAAAGATGAGAATTTAAAAATGTATTTGGACTCTATTTTCTCTTGCTTCTTTCCCCCTAAAGACAGAGGCATTCCAGAATCATTTGTTTGCTCCCCCTTTCTACAAAACGAGCAAAGTTTGTCAGAAGTAATCCAAAATATTTGTTATTCAGCTCATGAAGTGATTCAGGCATATATTAATACCAAATGGATGAGTCCTGGAACTTTCTAGTGGACAGAGTAAGATGGACAAGGTTTGCTGACCCCATCACCTGTGTTTCCTGGAACCATATTCATTGGCATCTATACCAGAAATCCTATTGGATTTGATCAGGCTGGATTTTCACACTACATTTCATCCTCCTTCACAACACATTCAAAACTGTCAATAAATTGACCATGTCAACCTCAAAATCCAGGTCTAATTCAATTCAATTCAACAAACATTTATTGAATTACCATGTACCAAACTCTGAGACAGTTGCTAGGGATATAAAAATGAAATATACACTCTTTCCAAGATGACCATAGTCTCTCTAGCTTACAAGAAAGTACTGGGCATACTATGGAAGATGATAAACTAAGAACATGTTTTTCAAAGAATGAAGATTTTACTGATGAACATATTTTGTGTACAATCAAACCAATTTCTTCAATTCATTTTCAATAGTTTCCCTCAAATAATTATAGTGAAAAATCATTTATAAAATATCAAATTGCAGATAGTCTTATGTTATGTTTATTTTAGGTCTTATAATTTAGAAGAGAGTATATTTCTCTCAAACTAAAATATTTATGGATCTATTTAGATGCATTTATAAAAAATCAACATGGCAAGATTACTCTTCTGTTTCCCCGTTAAGAGTCACTGTTTAATTTCCCTCCTCTTGGTTTTAAGTTGTTTCAAGAAAATTTGTTTAGCCAACCGAGGCCACAGAAATGATGTTCTGGGAATTCTAAGACTAAGTTAAAAATAGCTTTGTAGCTTCCGCTTGTATTTCTTGGAAAACTGGCTTGGAACTTTAAGCTGCCATGTCAAATTTGCCTATCATGAGACGGCCATGCTAGAAGAGTCATGTATAGACACGGTTGATCAATAGTGCCAACCAAGACTAGGATTCAAGTCATTCTGATGCTAGACACATGAGTGAAGCCATCCTGGACCCTGTAAACCAACCCACCCCTTGGGTGGGTATCACGGAGTTACCCTGGTTGGCACTAAGTGGGTCAAAGAGTTGCCTACCAAGGTGTTTCTGAGATGCTAGTCTCTTGAATTCATGAGCTGCAATAAAATGGTTACTGCACTAAGCCACTAAGTGTTGGGTTAGTTATTCACAAGTGATGATTTGAAGCTACTGATGCGTACTCACATGCAACAGAGACAGCATAATGAAGCGCAAAAGACATCGGGGCCTTTGAGACACACAAGGAAAGCTTTGCTAAGGCAATACACACTTCAAACTTCCTGCCATCGCGTCCACTCTGACCCATAATGGTTGGTGGGTTTGAACTGCTAAACTTGGGGTTAGCAGCCCAATGCATAACCGACTGGTGAGTTTGAATTACTGACCCGTAAGGTTACCAGTCCAATCCACTATGCCACCAGGGTATCTGAAAATATACAAACTTGGGAGGGCGGAACAAGAACAAGGAAAGCATGTAGGGCATGTCCAAAGTGAGTGAAGAATTATCTGAGAAATCTTTATTGAAGGAACGGATTCTCTGGAAGTAACCGGGAACAGATTCTAAAACAAGCTGGGAGAAAAGGGCATTCCTATGCTAGATGGTCTGATTAGAAAGAGAAGCCCAGAAGCAATAGCAAGTGATGGATGATTTGGGTGTTCGGAAGTTGAAGGAGAAAAAGGAAACCTAGTGTTCTCTCCTTGAGATTTCAGTAGGTGGAGGTGAGGAGATTTCTGTGGTATATAAAACACTGCGAAGTCCACAAGGGGTGAGAAAAGGAGTCTGATCAAAGAAGGTTCGGAAGAGGATAGAATCCTGGCACGGCAGTAGATGGTCAGTGAACAGGAAAGGGGAAGGCGTGACTAGGACCTGCTCTAAAGGCTGTGATGGAGGAAAGAGAAGACAGACAGACGACATAAAGAAAGCAGGAGCATCGAAAATTAGTTGGATAAATGGGACTCCAATCTCAGTTATAGTTGTAAAAGTCAGTGGTTTATGATTTGTTGAA